AAATTATTTAAAAAGCTAATCCTTATATTCAAATATATTTTAGCAAAATTTAAATAAATTTAATTAAATAATTAGTCTAATATAAATTTTTTTAGTTGTACTAAATTTAGTACATTTGGGCTACGTATACCCATTAATATTAGTATCAGTATTGAAAATTTTATTAAATTTTTTAAATTTTTTTTCAGCCATTAGTTGAATAGTGAAAGTTTTGAATAAAAATCTTTTTTTAACATGTTTATTAAAGCATAATGATTTTAATATCAAATATTATTAAACTTAGTAACAATAACAGTAACGATAGTTATACTTATACATACTTAACAAAAAAATAATTTAGTAATAATAAAACTATTCTTAAACAATCGATTAAAAACTTTGTAATCATAACAATTAACAATTGGCATAAGAGATTTAATAGTAATATTTAACAAAGAATGTTCTTTGGCAATTGTAAAAAAAATTTAAATTAATAAGTTCGATTTTTTTAAAAGAACAAATTTATAGATCAATTTGTTTTAAATAGATGTAGACAGACAAACTTTATTTTTTAATAATTTCGAATTTGTTCTAAAAGACTATAGTGAAGATACTGCAAGTGTAAGCTTAGCTGCTGAATCAGAAAGCATTATAGCAGAAAGTGTTTCTATAGATAAATTAGACTTTGATTTAGAATTAAAGCTTTTTTTTAATAATATTAGCTTTGACAAGGCACATAAATTAATAGAAGCAGAAGAAGAAGTAGATTTAGATCTTTTGTAAGAAAGTAATTATTAAATTAATGCTAATATAGACAGAAATGATTTAGTATCATCAATACTTGAACAAGAATCAACTATCGCTATAGCTATATTAGACAATGAAATTAAGTATCTTGTTGAAAAAACCTTTAATACAAAAAAAAAAAAAAGACAATTATTACCTTGTCTACTTGTGGACTTGACTGATAGTCAAATTAGATGTTGTTCAAAATATGTGCAAGATCAAAGACCATTCACTCAGCTAATTGGAGCTTGGGAAATAGATGAGAAAATTTTTAAACAAGTTTAGAAAAAGAATAAATTATCAATGATAGGTATTTGTTACTCGCATTTTTTTTTTAATTAAAATCAACTTCATCATCCTATATTAAAGAAGAAAGATCAATCAAAAAAAGCTGGATCTTTTGCTAGCGATGCTTATTTTGTAACAAATCAACATATTTTTTTAGTTGTGATAAAACTTGTATACAACATTCAAAAAACATTTTTAGAAAAAATATACAAATATTATATGTTGGTTTCAAAATTTGTCCCATATTTAAAGAAGAATCAAAAAATGCTACAAATCCTAAAAGAACTGAATATCGATCTAGATATATATATTTTGAATGTTTTGTTACTTAAGATGAGCATTTTTATAATCAACAAGGTTGTAGAAAAAACCAAGTTTTGAATGCATAGAAATGCATAATGATAATATAAATAAGAGACTTCAAATTTTAGGGCATTAGATTTTGTACATAGCAGAAACTGCTGAAGAAGATAAAAAAAAGATCTTTTGATAGACTTGACTTCTGTTTTGTTAACAATTTGTAGTACAAAACCCTCAATAAAAAAATTACTCAGTCTTTTTTTAAAAAAAATAGAATTGAAGTTGGAGCATATTAATATAAATTTTGTAAATCAAAAATATAACATTACTTTAGAAGCTGCCACAGATCTAGAAAAAGCATTAGGAATTGCAATATGGGGTGCATGATATGATATATAAAAAAATAAATTAAAGCTTGAAAGCTCAAGATCATTAGCAAAATATCAGAGTAGCTTTTTTTTATATTTATCAAACTTTTTTAATAGTTTTATTGAAATATTACAAAAAAAAATATGAAATAGTTATAAAAAAAGAAGACAAAGAAATCTTTCACTAACAGTATTTGATACTAACCATATTACTAAAATATCTGTTTTTCTTAATTCAATAGTATTAAATATTGCATGTTTAGAAACTAATATATAGTTAACTCATATAATGAATTTGCTTTATAGAAAGCCAAAACTATATCACTTCTTATATAACATACTATGTGTAGCTAGGGTGTGGCGACTTAGAGTAGTGGTTAAGTTGTCACCCTCCAAGCAGCAGGTCTAGAGTTCGAATCCCACTGGAGACGATTTTAGAAAAATAGGCCTGTGTTCTGATAACAATTATTCGATGATCGGTTGGGTATATTACCTGTAATCTTGGTACTACCATCTCGAAATAGAAGCTCTTGGGCGATCCAAATCCAAGG